TCTTCATTAGTTTTTAATTGTTTGTTGATAAAAATTGTGAATCAACTTGTGATGGTTATGCTTATGTCCTACCTTCCCACACACAAAACACTTACGCTGCCTGGTCTCCACCCTTCCTTGGCCTCTTACTCCCAATCGCTTATCTGGTTTACCAAACATCCGAGTCCTATTCTCAAGCCTAAGTCTGCTGGCATCTCTCTTATCTCTTTCCCATTTACCCCTTTGCTGGTCCTTCTGGCTTAGTCTTAAATTTCTCCGTTCCTTACTTACTTCTGCTGTGCCCAACGCCATTTCATTCCTACGCCCTATACTAGGCGCGTTTGTTACTACCCTCTCGAATGCTTCCGCGTGTTCAAATGCTTCTCTCGCCGATAGCTCTTCATTTTCTAACAACTTCTGCCTAGTCTCCACTGACCTCAAGCCACTCACAAATACCATAGTAACTACCATCTCTCTTACGTCCTTAACCGACTCAAACCCGCAAGTAGCTGCAGCTTGCTGTATTGTGGTATAAAATTCTACTAAAGACTGTTCTGGACGCTGCGTAATAGACATTATTTTATACCGTTCTGCCATCTTAAGTTTTTTCGGAGCGTAATACCTACGCAATGTACTTGTTAATGTCACATAGTCTACGTCCTCAGGGGTCTTTCCTTCTAACAACCCCTCCAGGACCTCATAGTTGTGCTCCCCCACCTCCTGTAAAAAAATCAACCTCGTTCCTACCTCATCTGTAATCTTCCTTAACTTCAAAAAATTTTCAAATAACGTTTCCCAAATTCGCCACGACGACCTGGAGTGTAATTCCCGGGAGGTTTACCCTTATATAAAGAATCACTTACGACCAGGGCTCCCAGCCCTGGTGGTTTTACCGGCGTCGTCGTTGCCTTCTTCTCCATCTGCGCTCGTTCACTCTACCAATCTGATCGATACACAAAGAACGTCCAAAATTACGAGTATTTATAGAAACATTTTATACAAATTCTCACTTTATTTATTCCAAATTATTTATTCAAATTTACTTCAATTTATTCAAATTAATATCACAGTTTCTGTTCGTTGTTGATGTATTTTCCGGCCTACCGAACGCGTTTGTTTCTTTAATTAATGTTGTGATTGATCTTCTCCAACCATTACGTATGTTTCAGGCTCAATGATTCAGATGGACAATGGATTTTGGTGATTGAGCCAGCGTGGACGATGGTAGTGGTCACGACTTTCTGCGGCGAGAAATCATCATCAATCCTACAGGCCAGTTAAATTGCTACTTCATCTTTTTCTTATTATATTCCCTTTTCCTTGGAAACCTCACGAAATGATTCCTACATGTTGTTAGTCCATTGTTAGTAGGGTCGGAGACATAGACAGTACAT